AAGGGAAAGGGAAAAACAAGGGGGTTCAGGTTAAGTTATGGAAAATTATAAGGGAGAATAGAGGGAAAACAGGAGAAAGATAGTTAACCCTAAGAACCCTAAGAATGTTTGAAACGCCATAAGGAAACCTGATATTTTATAAGCTTTATTTCTGTCTTTATCTGTGTCTCTGAGTCTCTGTCTGTCTGTCTGTCTGTCTGTCTCTCTCTCTCTCTCTCTCTCTCTCTCTCTCTCTGTGTGTGTGTGTGTGTGTGTGTGTGTGTATGTGTGTGTCTCTCTCTGTCTCTCTGTCTCTGTCTCTCTCTCTCTCTCTCTCTCTCTCTCTCTCTCTCTCTCTTTGTCTGTGTGTGTGTGTGTGTGTGTGTGTAATGTATTTCCTATACAAAGAGGTCATTCAAGCAGCATGATACCTTTCAAGAATTTTTTTTTACTTTCTTAAATTATCTAGAGTAAGTTCTGATATATTTGCTGCACTCTGACTAATAGACACAAATATTATTATGCCATCTGATTATGGGCATTGTGATGTGACTTGTGAGCCAGTCACTGATCTAGCTTCTAGGTAAGCATCATATTGTATGCAGCTGCATATAAACTACATATAAGCCTCATTTATAATGGAGTCTGTGATCTCACAAGGAGCTCAACAGAAGCGCTTATTCCTTTTCAGTTTGATGTTGCACGACAACAAGTGTTCTGGCATACAAGTCACATACAAGATATGCTCTGCTGTAAGAAACTTCACAGAGAACAACATTTAAAGAGGAATGTGAGAATACACCAGGACTGAGGTGTTGGATAAGTATAGGTGCCACATTTGCTCCAGTTTCCAAACAAGAAATGTGATGACAAGAATATTACTTCTGTCCATGAAGAGGCCCTGGCTTCTACAAGGAAGCCATGGTAGGTTTGAATTCCCAATCTTGCCACTCTGGACTCCTTCATAAAGACTTATATGTTGTTATCATATTTTAACATCTAAACCTAACAGTCATCAATGTGAAGTTCCTTATTCCAGGACCAGCATCTGCTTGCTAAGTTATTCAGAACCATCATAGTAAATGTACCACCTACATGACTATTACGGAAAAATACTCAATATAGACTATACAATCTTGTATCTCCTGAATTTTTAAAATACATAACACCAGTCTATTTGGGGCTTTCATTTCTTAGAGAATTACTTCACTTTATGACTATTCTGACAATTGTATTGTTGTATTTACCTGACTGTTGTGTCTATCTATCAAATAATACTATTTCTATATTTAAAACGATATTCAAATCTCCTCATAGTGTAACCCCTTAACTACTTAATTTCTGTTCTGTTCTACATAATAAATTACTAGTGACTTTATCTATAGACCTGACTTCTTTGAACTGAAATTTCCTTGCGTATGAAATGTGAATAACAATACCAAATCCATCTGATGGGGAATAATAACTTCCCTGTGGCATTAGCAACAACTAATTCCTCTCAAATGTGTAAACTTTCTCCAGAAGATAAGAGTATACCCTAGTTTGCTTTTTTGTTGTTGTTGTTGCCATAATAAATGCCATTAGCAAAAAAAAAAAATCCTGCAGAGAAAATGGTTTATTTCAGCTTCTAGGCTATAGTCCATCATTGAGAGAAGCCAGAGCAGGAGCTCAAAACAGAACACTAGAGGCAAGAACTCAACCAAAGTCTATAGCAGGATGCTGTTGACTGGTTCACATCTATTGATTTGCTTGGCTATCTTTCGTATACAGTCCAGGCTTCCCTGCCCACAAGTGATCCTGCCCACAGTAGACTGGGCCTTCCTCCATCAGGTAGAAATCAAGAAAATTATCCCATAGACATGAACATGGACCAATCTGATGGAGCCAATTCCTCAGCTAAGATTCTGTCTTCCCAAGAATCTCTAGACTTATCTTGACAAACCCTAACCAATATAAAGAGCATCACCTAGATCACCTTAGGCTTTGTCTAACATGATATCATCACAATATTTACTGGAGTCAACTCCATTGGAAAAAGCTGTGGTTCTTGGAAATGCCAGGATAACCGGATAATGCTGAAAAGCACCAGACTAATGATAACAATATTTTATGTTTGTTTCTCAAAATTATATGCCTCAGCTCCATACAAGTATGTACATTTTAATCAAGATTGTACAATTCTCCAATATTTACCAAATATCTATAAAATAAATGAGGATCTGGAGATATTTGTGGCATGTCTTAGACTCTCGATTATGGAGGATTAAAGAAAGGAAAATTTGATGAAGTATAGAGGAAGGAGGACGTAAAAGGACACTCCCTGATTAAGAAGCTGTGGGACTATTCATGGATATTTATCTCAGTAAACAGATACATATTAAAACTACTGATGTTCTTCCCTGACATGAGCAAGCCTAATCCTATAGACACAGGAATTCAGTTACTTTAAATATAACTAGATGTTGACTGAGAAGATTCTAGATATTTCTATTTCACAGGCTTAACCTAAAAACTTCATTTAACTTTTGCAATGGATAGAATTTATTCACGTTGTGTTCCTAGCTCACATTCTTTTTCTTGTCTGATTAATCTTTGGGACAACCTAGAAATTGTTTAAATACATTCAAAGCATTATCATATATCCAAAATATTACCTAACAAGTATGATGATTTCAAACACAGGCTTTGGTACACTATTTTTCCAGTTGATGACTATAGTCTTGGGCAAGATGCTGTGTGAGTCTGAGTTTCCTGTTCTTAAAGACAAGAAGAATGCTTGCAAACACATCTGGTTGTCATGAGAAATGATTATTTATTTAAAGGATTTAGTACAGTGTGTTATTCTTTTTCATTTTAATTTATAAAGTAATAAAAAGTTTAAACTAAGAACTTATATAAATAAAACAGTAGGGTATCCCTGTGTTCGGGGTGGGGGATACAAATGAGTTCATCCTTAACATTCAAATGGCTTCAGTCATTTTTTGCTACTACTCTTGTTTGCATCTTACCTCAGTCTTTCAACTCATGTATTTTTGTATATTGGTGGAAGAATGCCTGCACATTGGTACATTTGTTAGGTTTCAAAACTGAACTATATGCTATTAAAAGGTGAGATCTATTTCAAACACTTCCTTCACTTTTTCCTCAGAGTTCAATCCATAGCAATGTTCACAAACGAATATTAAGATAAAAGCAAAAACCAAAACAAGCAAACAGAAAAGCATTATTCAAGGAAGAAACCTAAGTAGGGAAAACACTACAACCCAAGGGGCAACTACTGAAGCGTGATGTCCACAATGCTTTTCTGCATTCTAGATTTCACTTTCAACACTCTAACTTAGTACATCCAAAACATATATTGATCTTGAAGATTGTTTTAGAATTATCCAAACTAACTTCCAATAAAAATAATAACCTGTCTTCCAGATCCCATTCACTCAAATGGTAATATTTGGTTTCAACTGTAAGACAATTGCACAACTCTAAGTAGGATAATTACAGTCAGTGGCTGAGATAGATGAAGTTCTTAGCCTAACCAAGTCCACATTACAGTGCTGAATTAAGAAAACAGTAAATATAAGAGAGAAGTGGGAGTAAGAATTGCTACTTTAAAAAAAATGCACTGTGGGGGATAAAGAAGGATGATCAAGCTGAAGAGAGGTGGCTACTGGTCAGAATGATCAGGAAGGGGATCCAAAGAATCAAATGACGTTTCAAATTCTAAAATATAAGACCAAGCTGTGTACATCTCTGAAAGAACATGGGTAGACAACAAAGGACAAGTCAAAAGGTCTTCATAAGAACCAGCTTGGCCTGTCTGAAAGTAAGATGAGTGTGGCGGAGAAAAAGTGACCCAGGGAAGTCGGCTGACTATGAGGTGATAAGAAGCTAGCTGGTGAATGGCCTGCCTGTAAGTTCTATAAATGACTTTAAGCCCATTCTACATGAACTGGAAAAAATTCAAGATGAATGTTACTTGGTTTGTGCTTTAACAAGTAATGTAAAGGAAAGGCCATAGAAGGGCAAAACATGAAAACTGTGGAGCTCCACAGTCCAGTAAAAATAGCAAATGATTATGTTACACTCACAGCAATAGGACTGACCAAGAGACTTCTGTTTGGATAGTCCTGTTACTAGAGACTATGAACAATGTGAGGATCCTGGCTCTACTCTAAGGAAGCAGAAACAGTTAACTCTTCTTGAAGCAGTTTACTATTGTCTGGCTTCAGTGGGAGAGGAAGCGCCTAGCCTCACAGAGACTCAAAATGCTAGAGTAGGGGAATACCCAGGGGATGTCCACCTTCTCAGAGGAGAAGGGGAGGGAACTGGAGAAGGATTGTGGGAAGGGGTGACTGGTTGTAAGGGTAGCAATGAGAGAGATCTAAAGTGAATAGTAAAAAAAAAAAATTAAATTAAAAAAAAACTGCTGAAGATGTCTCTCTCTGGGCTGAGGATATGGCTCATTTGGTAGCATGCTCGCTGAACAGGCACAGTCCTACACGCATTTTCAGCACCACATACATGTGACACAGTAAGCACAGAACTGTAATCCTAGTAGCAGCTGAGAGATGGAGGTAGAACAATCTGGAATGCAAGATCATATTCACAGCTTGAGGGCAATCTTATGTCAAAAAATTGTTTTTAATTAACTTTTTGAAAATGTTTTTTCTCTATACATGAGAATCCTACTCTACATAATCCCTCTGAAATATTCTAGCAAACATACACACATACACACACACACACACGAATTTTTCATCACATTAATTGTAAGAGGGAAAAAAAAGCCATAAAGTCTGTTCATACAAATGTGTGAAGGTGATAAAATTAGGATACTAAAGCTCAGTAGTGTGTGTGTGTGTGTGTGTGTGTGTGTGTGTGTGTGTGTGTGATACAATTAAGACTTTAGGAGAAAACAAGACTCATCATAGAAAATCCTGCTAATAAGCCAGCAAGTGTGACTTCTATGAAGATTTTCCTGCACCTTACGTGAGCAGAGCAACGGTCTTCCTGGAATTTTACTTCCGCTTCCGGGACTGGTAGCATGGGCTCTCCTGAGGAGCAGTCTGTTCCAGGAGATGATTTTTATGAGGACAGTGGAGACCTCAACAAGAACTTGAGCCTTGTCTCAAGGCTTGCCGAGAGTAACGAAGGTGAAAGCAGCCTCGCAAGTCCCAAAGGCAGCAAGCTCCCATTGGTGTCCCAGATGGAGGTGTCAGAGAGCCCATCGGTGGTGCTTTGGACCGGAGGGTGCTGGCCAGATTCCCCGGTGCCGGAGGAAGAGAGGCTAGGTTCCCCAGTGGATGAAAAGGTGGTTGGTTTGACCTTACTCTCCCAACCCAGTGTAGAGACTGCGAACACTGGGCAGCAGGTGACCAACCCAGAGACACCAGGAGCCAGAGAACACCCATCCTCAGAGAGCTTTTGTGCTGAGACAGAGACAGGCTCCAGCAGGAAAGCTCCGCAGGCTTCAGGCTCCGAGGAGGCAAAAGCAGCTTCTTCTGCCACTTTCTTCCCCAAGGGACTGGAGCAAAGCAGAGCTTGGGGGACACCGAGAAAAAGTACCAGTAGTAGAATGGTGATCGGCGAGAATGTCCACCACCCCACTTCCGAACCTGAATTATTAGACGAATTAAATGAAGTACAAATGATGAGAGTGACCATTTGCCTTAAAGATGGAAACCAGGCTAAGAACAGTGGCCCAGCAGAGACTGGAGACCTAGCTAGACACTCAAGTGTCCAGACCAGGGACAGTTTCATCCGGATGCCCTCCTCCCTGCTGACCTCTACTACCCGGGGACTTACCTCTGGCATGGAAAGACAGGCCTCGAAAGAACTGGAACCCTTTTCCTCTAAGAAAAAGCAAGGCATCTCATGGAGTAAGGGAGGAAGCAAGGCCAGCTACTCAGAGGCTGCTGCTGGGGTAAGTGCCCTGCCCAAGGCCAGTCCTAGAAAGAAGATGGCCCAGAAGAAAAAACCCCTGTGGGATGCCTCAGCAGTTACCCTGGGGAGAGCCTTCCATCAATGGGGCCAGAGACTGAAGTCAGCTCCTGCAGAACCAGCCACCTTCCCCCCAATCTCTGGTGTTGGCCTGCCTGGGAGGTCCAATAAATGCTCACTGCTGCCTTTAAGACCCAAACAGTGCAAGAACTTCTACACTGGGAAGAGATCTGGGGCAAAGAGGACAAAGGAGTTACAGTTGGTAACAAAAGAAGACACTGACTCAACCAGAGACTCTGGCTCACAGGTTCAGTTTCCAACATACAGGGCAGAGCCACCTTGCCAGAGTGTGCATCAAGAATTCAGCAGCGGGGATGTAAACACCCGAAGCCTCCAGGATCCAGGAAACTCTCAATCCTCAGCCCTAAGCCAGAGAGGCATCCTGTCCAAGAAATCTACACCCTCTGGTGACCAGGAAGAACCTGTGGGTCCCTCAGCCCCAGATTCAGAGATACTGCAACTACCTGGAACACAAGGTTGTCCCCGTTGTCCGGAGTTACAGAAGGAAATAGAGGACCTCAGGAAACAACTGTCAGCCCTGCAGGCTGTCAGTGAGAAGTTCCAGACCCATTCAAGTTAAACCCAACATGTCTACAAGACAAGCAGCTGGCGTTGTTCTGATTCCTCCTCCAGATTCTTCTCTCCCCTTTGCCGCTGCTTTCTTTGCCCCTACCCCTTTCCTAGTTAACGATAGTTTTGAATTCAAATACTTCTCAGGAAGGAAAATAAAAGTTTGTGATATAAAGTAAATAAAGATAACTCTAAAGACGGTTGGCTTGTTTCTACCTTCTTAAAACTGGTCTATGTACCGACAAGATCTGGGATGGAACATGAAGAAACACAATGCGTTAAAGAGGTCAAGGGTATATTTTTCGAGCCTCTCTAAGTTTTTTAAGCTATTAGTTTTTTATTTTGGCTTCAAGTTCTGTTTGGTTGCCTGTTGTTGTTTGTTTGTTTGTTTCCTTGAGAATGATCCCATACCAAGGAAATCATAGTGGTTCTCCAGATAAACATAAACTGCAATCTCTGATTTTAAATGACTTGGAGGGAATTGCTCTTTTTATAGGACTAGCACTACTGATGGGAAAATTTAAATATCGGCACTTGTGTGTCATTTTAATATTTTAAGCAAAGACTTTAGTCAGCTGACACCTTTCCTTTTTCTTATCTGTGTTTCTCTGGTAAAAGGTCTGTTTTCTCCCGCAAGCCTTTATCCAAATATCAAGGAGCAACCTGTCCATGTAGTAGCATTAATGCATTCCGAGGCTCGCCAGATAAATTCTTGGTGCCTGACTAGCACTACAAGGGCACAGTCAGAACTTCAGAAAGAAGTCAGTGGGGTCTGTTGAATATCTAGCCCAACAAAACCCAAATGTAAAAAGCTCTCTATGTGATAAACACTCCAGGCATGACAAGCAGGAAACAGATGCAAAGCCACAGCCCCAAACCAAAAGCAGACCATACAGTTGTTTGCAAACAGAAGCAAAACGGAGAAACAACTTGGTGGGAATCACTTTTCCCACAGTCTTTTACTTGTGTCTCAGATAAAGTGACTCTATCCCTTTCACATCCTTCCCACATTTCATCTCAGACACTTGGGCTGTATTGATCAAGCATACAGTACTTGAAATAGAAAGGGTGTATTATTTGCTCATGGAGAGGAGAGATTCACACCAATATCAGAGAACAAACTGTAATTCATAGTGTAAAAATAACTGTAAGCTATGTGGCATCGCAGACAGAGTCCTGTGCTACACTTATTAACTCATCTTTAAATCTGTTTTCTGTGCTTTCTAATGAAGCGCCCTTGGATGACGCAGTTTTATTTTATTGGGCTTTCATTCTTCATCCGTAAAGTGGGGATAATAACAACAACGAGTCTTTGCATATGAGGAAGAATTACCTAAAGTTTAAAGTCAAATTTCAGGAAAATATAAAGGACTACCTATGGTTTTAAATCTAAAGACAGTAGAGCAAGCACAAATTTGATGATAGTTTTTACACCCTGAAGGTAGAAATAGCTCTCCTCCCACCTTTAACTATTGGGAAATGGTCCAAGAATTAGTGAAGAGAGCATCTCTGGACCTTCTGTGACATCACAGGGAAGAAGCAAACAGGTAGCTGGGAGAGGGACACCCAGTTAGAAGCTGCCCCACTTGTTGAGAGAATCTGACCAGACACCTTGTGTATATACAGGACAAAGAATCATGAAAAATTACACTGAACCAGGGATCGATCTCCCTCCCTCTCTCTCTCTTTCTCTCTCTCTCTCTCTCTCTCTCTCTCTTTCTCTCTCATACAACATCACTCTCTGAAAAACTTTATTTAAAAATTATCAAGGAAGCCAGGCATAGTAGCATGAGCCTTTAATCCCAGCACTTGGGAGGCAGAAGCAGAAAGAACACTTATGAATTCAAGGCGAACATAGCCTACATAGTGAGTTCCAGAACAGCCAGAGCTATATAGTGAAACCCTGTCTCAAAAAAGAAATTATCAAGAAAAGTTGCCAAAACACCACATGTACTTCTTAAAGAAGAAGAACAACAACAACCAAAAAATAGTCACCTAAATGGAGGTAACACAAGGAGAACACACTTGTGAAAATATGTAATGGTAGATGAGAATTGTAATCGAACATCAAACATCATTAAACCATAGTACATGCTCAGAGCAAAGGAGACATTTGTTAGTAGCCCTGTGTTCGTAGAACAGATTGAAGAATCATCAACTCTTAGCCCTCAGAAAAGAATTCAAAAGAAAATGATCGTAAATGAAAGGTCACAGTAAAATTCTTACAGTAGGCCAAACACACACACACACACACATACACACACACAACCATAAGGAGTCCAGAGATGTTGCTCAGTGGTAGAACACTTATTTAGGATGCGTAATGTCCTAGGTTCCATTGTTAGCATGGGAAAAAAATCACTGCTGAGAGACATATCAAGAAGAACATAATAGATTTAAAAAGTATTTAAAGCTACTACCCCTGAGGAAAATATCAAGAGTAAATAGAATACTCAAACCAAAATAAAATTCTACTATATGAAGGAAAATATTGACACAACAATTAAAAAACCTTCCCAGGTCAATGAGAAACCTCCCATTCCATCCCCCTAGACTTCCAACATCCAGAGGCAATGATTAAAATAAAATCAGCCATTTTGACCAGATAATACAAATTTTAAGTTTGAGAAATGTTTTCTGAAATTTATTTTACATACTAAACATCTTTCTAAATGTAATAAATTCCAGAGACTATAAAGGGAAAAATGTATAAATTCGATTAGCTTTTTTCAATGCATCATGAAAAGGAAGTTAACAGGAAGCATAATTAGCCATAATGGCATGAACAGAGGTTCAGTCTTGTTATAATGAGATATGCAAATAAAAACTATCAAGAGATACTGCTTCTTTTTTAATAAATTTATTTTTTTATTTATTCACTTTACATTCCAATCACTGGCCGGATCCCGGTTACTTCTCCCCACCATCCTTCCCCAACTCCCCCATCTCTGTGAGAGTGGCGGCTCCCCCTAGGTATCCCTCTACCCTGGTACATAAAGTCTCTGCTGGGCTAGGTACATCCTCTCTCACTGAGGCCAGACAAGGAAGCCTAACTACAAGAACATATCCCACAGACAAGCAATCGCTTTTGGGATAGCCTCTGTTACAGTTGTTTGGACTAAGTTGCACATCTGCTACATCTGTGGGGAGGCCTAGCTCCAGTCTGTGTATGCTCTTTGGTTGGTAGTTCAGTCTCTGAGAGCCCCAAGGGTACAGGTTAGTTGCCTCTGTTGGTCTTTCTGTGGAGTTTCTATCCCCTTCAGGGTCCTCAATCCTTCTGCAACTCTTCCATAGAAGCCCCTGGGCTCCATTCAGTGTTTAGCTGTCGGTCTCTGTATCTGTCTGAGTCAGCTACTGGATTGAGCCTCTCAGAAGACTGCAAGCATAACAGAGTATCATTAGTAGTGTAAGTGATTGGTGCTTGCCCATGCAATGTGTCTCAAGTTGGGTGTGTTATTGGTTGGTCATTCCCTCAGTCTCGAGTCCATTCCCCATCCCTACATTTTTTGTAGACAGGATAAATTTGGTGTTGAAAGTTTTGTGGATGGGTTAGTGTCCTTGTCACTCCACTGGGGTTCCTGCCTGGCTACAAGAGGTAGCATCTTCAAGTTCCAGATACTGCTTCTTAAATAGCAATGTGGTAAGCATTAAAACCTTAGTAGCACTTGGGGTCACCAAGTATGTTTGTATTGGGATCACTATTGAGATATCCTTTAGAAAGAACAGCTTGGCAATGTCCACTACATATATAAATATATATACCAACAATTCCAACTTTAATCAGTCAGCTTTAGCTACCCTTGTCCCCTAAAAATATGAATATACACTGAGGAGCTACTTAAGGTAGCAAAAATAAGCAGCCCACTAAATTTCCATCAGTTAAGTAAATGCTAGTCCAGATAATAGTGATGAAGCAGACTACCACCCAAAGTAATGAGAAAACTCCTGCTTTATGACTATGGACTAGATCTCTAAGGTAAACCACTTAGTTATAAATGCAAAGTATGTGAATACAGAAATTCTCTGAGTTTGTGCATCTTTAAACGTGCATCTGAAAATTGTGATTATCTCTGGAGGAACACAACAGAAGCAATCAAGCATGTATTTCTTATAGGGTAAAACAGAGATCTTGTCAGAGGTGTCTGACAAGAAAAATAGAAATGGGCTCTTTGAGTCTACAGAATTGTTGTTTTTTAATCTTAATTATTGTCTCCAAAAATTGGAATTAGTCTAGGAAGATGGAATGGGAAGTTTTTTGTAGCCCTTAGAAGGTTTTAGGAGGTTTTTTTAATATTATAAACTCACTTCTATATTTCTTGATATAATAAGCATTATTTTTATCTTTGTTGAAAACTTCAGAGATTACGCATAAAAATAATTTCAAATTCTCTGTTCTATTTAAAATACCGTATCCCACTATTTGGCTGTTTGTGCCAAAACTGAGAGTAGAAAATATGTCGCTGTAGCTATAATAGTAACAAAATGTTCCCTGTGTTACAAGAATGCAAAGAGGGATCAGTCAATTCTGGAGGCACATGGGTGGTTACTGCAAAACCCAGAGACAGAGAGATGCAGATTAAACTGACCCTTGAGGAATGTTTGTTCGCTTCACAGACATCTAGTATGGGAAGTTAGAGACACATGCTAATGCATGAGTATGAAAAACCATAGTGCTATACACGGCCCATCAGGTTTGCAGAGGGCTTGGCCTCAGTGAGGGTGCCAAGCAGGTAGGTCACAAGAGAATGAATTAGACACAAGGTGGAAAGGGGAACAGAGGTGGAGACAGTGTTACAGAAATCCTAGCTGCCATGCTAAGGCAAACAAGATACCCTTTCCAATCAGTAGATCTAAGTCTTACTAGCTATCAGAATTACTTGAAGGAGTCTCATAACAATACAAGTTCTCAGACACCCTCTCATACCAATCAAATCTGACTCTGAATGGTAGATTTGTGGAACTGGAATTTAAACCGAATATTCCACTGCCACAGACAAAGAATTGTCAGAACTTCAGTTATAGTATCTCAGTGCAGCATTGAGTGTGTGTGCAAGAAGAAAGGGATGGATCATAGAATCCTATTGAGAGGTGGTCAAGACGTAGTTCACTCTGTGTACATGTCAGACCAAACGCTTATTTTTTTAGCAGCTCTGAACTCATTCTTGCCTGAAATTTGCCTAAAGTGATGCAGGAATGGG